CTACTACTACCACGACTACTACTACGACGACGACTACCATCAGTACTATTTACCTTTGTTATTATCTTAGATATTGTACTTGAGCGGGGCGTCCAGGTCTGTGAAGCCAGATATCTTCACTAGCCTTCAGCCTTGACCTCTGTCAACGCCCGAAACCCGGAAGCCCCAAACCCTGAGCCTTTTAGGGTTTAGGGTTTAGGGTATGTAGCCCTCGACATCCCTGCCCTGATGCTTCATGGGATTAGGTGTTCCTTGGGGTCCTAGGGTCGCGGGGTCATGGTTTAAGTAGCGTTAAAGTACGGTTTAGTGTGTAGGACCTCGCGACGTGCTGTTTGGCTCAGAAGGATTCTAGGACGTACAGGAGTTCACGTCAAGGTTTTGGGATTCCGGGTCCTTCGCCGCGGGAGTGAGGTTCAGGGTTCCAGCCCTTTTCATTGGAGTTTCAGAAGAAACGTGGCCAGACCGTAAATAGCAAGAGCTTTGTAAAGTACAGGTTCGTCATGTCGGATGAGCACAGGTTCCGTTTGGACGCCCCGATGCGAAATTAATCCTTAAACCCTACACCGGGAAATCTAGACCTTAAGCTCTAACCTCGCAGCCATAAAGTGTGAACGCTAAAACCAAAATGTAAGCCCTGAAATCCTAAACCCGAAGCCATGAGTCGAAGCCATTCGCAGGTCTTCTACCTGAACCAGATCTCAAGCCGTGATTTGGCTTCCAAGTTCGCGATCTGCCAAAAGGCAATTGAGTGGGTGGATTAGAAGACAAGGTTAGATTATCTGTTTCCTCCACAGCGATAGCAAACGGCGTATGCATGCGTGTATGCATGTATGAGTGTGTGTGTGTGTGCGCGAGTGTGTCTTCGTGTATATGTGTACGAATGTGTGCAAGTGTGTATGCGTGTACGCATGTATGTATGTATGTATGTATGTATGTATGTATGTATGTATGCATGTATGTATGCATGCATGCATGCATGCATGCAGGCACGCATGTCTGGAGTGTCTGCACGCCTGCATGTCACTATGTCGGTCTGTTTGTCTGTCTGGCTGGCTGTCTGGCTGTCTGTGCGTCTGTCTGTCTGTCTGTCTGTCTGTCTATCTGTCTGTCTGTCTGTCTGTCTGTCTGTCTGTCTGTAAGTAAGCATGCACGCATGAATGAATGAATGCATGAATGCATGCATGTATGTATGCACCTAGGTTCGTATGTATGCGTGTATGTGCATATGTATGTGTGTGTGTGTATGCACCTGAATTTGTTTGTGTGGTACTAGGCATTTATTATTTGTTCCATCCTTCATTGTTTTATTCGTTCCTTGTTCTTGTGTTTGTATCCTGACACTAAGTCGGAGAAGCAATGCTCGGGCTTCGTGGTAGGAGAGACACCCAGACACCAAACCCTGACCCCCCAGTTCAGGTGTTCAGGGGTTTAGGGCCTTCAGGGCCTCTAGGGGTTTAGGGATTCCGGGTTAGGATTTAAACTCCCAGCAGACTCTTTGAGGGTTTAGGGCTCAGGGTTCAGAGGTGTAGGGTTTTGGGGGTTAGGGTTCAGGGGCTTAGGAGTTCAGGGGTTTGGGGTCTAGGGTCTAAGGCTTACGATTTAGGGTTGAGGGTTTGGGTTTAAGGATCAAGGTTTCGGGAGCAGTGCATGGCCTGAAGGCCCTAAGCCCTAAAGACCCTAAACCCTAAACCCCTAAAGGCCTTGACCCACTCAAAGAGTCGGCTGGGAGGCTCTCATCGTATGGGCGTTGGCCTCCCTCGCCTGGGCCGGGAAGCTCAGGGGTTTTGGGGCCAGGGCTTTGGGGTTTGGGGTTTTTGGGTTTTGTGTTTTTGGGTTTTGGGTTTTTAGGGTTTTAGGGTGGTTTAGGGTTTGGGGGTTTGGGGTTTGGGGTTTAGGGTTCGGGGTTTGGGGGTTTAGGATCGTTTGGGGTTTCCCTAGACTGCCGCACCCTAAACCTGAGGAGTCTTGGACGGTTTTCTTGCAGGGTCTCATGTGGGGTTTGTTCTTTCTGCCAAAACCCCCGGCAGGAAAAGCCGAGCCTTAAAGCCTTAACGTTTTGGCTGAGGAGTTGGGGTTTGAGGTTCAGGGTTTAGTGTCTTATGAGGGTCTCAGTGTGAGAGTTTAGGGTTTTGGCTTCAGGCTACGGGGTTGCATTATCCACCCTAGACCCTAAGAAACCCTAAACAGCCTAAACCCTAACCCCTAACCCCTAAACCCTAAGCTCTAAACCCTAGACCCTAAGCC